TTGGCTGCTGTGGACGTGTAGCCTCAGGCTGTGCCTCAGTTTCCCCATCCATGTGGTGGGGTAGTGGCAGATCCCAGGGGAAAGCCGGCTGGGGCAATCCGGAGGGAGAAACGTTGGTTTGGGAAGCTTGTGCCCTGCTACATTGCCCTGCTGGTGCCTCGTTTGCCCCACTGTACCCCTGCACCTCCCTGAGCCGGGGGCTTTTCTTCCAGGCAAGTAGCAGGGAGTAAGCCCAAGGAAATCAGCTCGTGTTCGTCTCTTCCACACAAACCCAGCCCCTTCCCTGCACCCACAGGGGCCAGGGGCTCAGCAGGCTTGCAGGGCTTTAAAGAAGGGGCTGTTGTGGCCAAGGAGTCCAGATGGGCCCACTCTTGCCCCAGCAGAGCCCTGACCTCCTGGTCTCCTTGGCAGAGGGGACAGCCATGGGTCCCTGCCCTGGGAGATGGAGCTGGCAGAAAAAAGGAGTTTTTTCCAAGGAGAGAGAGGCTGTGGAACGGGTCTGGGCGCTGCTGAATGGCCTGTCAACAGCTTGGCTGAACCCCAGAATGTGGGGTGGTGCACAGGACCCCTAGACCAGCCAGGGAGCTTGGGATCAGCCGAGTCCCCTGGGGCTGGGCTGAAGCTGAACCCAGCTCCCCAAAAAGCCGAGCTCGGCCCTGCCTAGGACAGAGATGTGGTTTTGTCGCTGTGCTCAGGGCTCAAGGACAGGGCACCCTTCATGTGGTCCCTGGCAATCAAACCTCCGCCATGGGCTTGGGACTCCCCCCAGCTTGGGGACACACATGACCCCACTGGGGACAAGGTGTTGAGAGTGGGGCATACTGCGTTCATTCAATCAATGATTTCCCCCCAAAAAAACATTCCAAGAAAGACATCCAAATGTGCTGCGAAAAGACCAAAACCCCAGCCGAAGGGACAGCCCAGCCATTTTACCAGTGCTGGGGGCCCTGCGGTGCCCAGTGCAGCCTCTGCATTTCTTTCACCAACCAGATAACGTTCATCCCCGTGGACCTTGAGGCCGAGCGGTTCCTGGACCACAAACCCTTCGTGCTGCTGGAGAAGGACACCCGGTAGGTCCCAGCAACTGACCCCAGCGGCTGTTTTCCCTTTGGTGGGTGTTTTCATCTGTATTTGTGTGTCCTCAGGGACAAGGGCAGTGCCTGAGCACGCTGGCACTGGGGGCAACTACACCGATTGCAGTAAAAAATGACAAGCAGTGATGTCACCTCTAAAACATCTGGTGGGAGTCCTGTGTTCCTGAGCATCTCCTGGCTCCATGGGGGTCCAGGTCCTGCTCAGCACCCCGCTTCTTCTTCCTCCTCCCTCAGCTTGCAGACACCCTGCCCCAATAAAGAGGCCACCAGCACCTACGAGAAAAGCCTGCCATCCTACGAGCAGATCCAAAGGCAGGCTGTGGGCTCAGCCCAACTCGCACCCAGTGCCCAGCCCAGACCCCGCAGCTGCTCCCAGCTGTCCGTGCAGGCAAAAGCAGAGGTCCACTGGGAACTGGGGAGTGCCGGAGAAACTCCCCCAGAGTCAGCGCCTCGGCTGGAAATGGCGACAAGCAGCTGGTACGTGATGCCTATGGGATCAGGTGGCACTGGTGGCATGTGGGGTGAAACGGGAGGGGGTCAAAGCTCCCATGTAGGAGGAGGGAGAGGAGATAGAGGGGTCTTTGCTGCTTGCACAGTACTGACCGCCCGGACCCCTAGTCCTGCTGGAGCCCAGATGGTGTCTCAACCCATGGGAACTTCAGTGCCAAATTACTTATCAGGAGGAAACTTGAGTGGCCTTTTGTCATAATTTGCATTTTGCTTCTGTTTCATTTTATATATAGAAACAATGCTCCTCACCAGAATAAACCCCAAGTTCCTGGTCCGACTTTGACAGGACTGAGGCGCTCAGTATGTGTCCCTCAAACGAGAAGCCACGTATGATGCCCATACGTTGGTTCAGGGAGTCCCAAAAGTGCTTTGCAGGGGATGGGGGCCACTGTGCAGCCTTGGGGCACAGGACTTGGGCATCCCCTCCGCCAAAACGCAGCTACGGCTAGGATGAGGTGCTGTCCTTTCTCCTCGGGAAGCAGATAAGGCGTGTGAGGACAGCCCCTGCTTCACCCCATGCACAGGAGAAGGAACATGGTGGGCAGGCTACCCCCATAAAGGCAGGCACTAAGGCCAGAGATAGAGCCATCCTGGGGTGCCCCAGCATCCAGTAAGGGGACTGGTGATGCTGGGACGCAGGCTGAGCAACATGGAGCTCTGCGCGGCGG